TCAATATGGATTGAAGCTCAATATCAAGAAAACAAAGATTCTCACCACTGGGCCAATTGGCAGCATCAGTATGAATGGTGAAGAGATTGAGCTAGTTAACAGTTTTTATTTACTTGGCTCCACAGTCAACACTCTTGGTAACAGCAGCCAGGAAATCAGGAGATGAATTGCATTGGGAAAGTCAGCTGTGAGGGACCCCTTAAGAGTACTGAAGAGCAATGACGTCAGGCTGGAGACTAAGGTGCACCTGATCCAGGCTATATAGTCTTTGCAATTACATGCTATGTATCGGACAGTTGGACAGTGAATAAGGATGATAGAAAGTGGATTGATGCCTTTGAGCTGTGGTGCTGGAGAAGAGTGTTGAATATACCATGAACTGCTAGGAGAACAAACAGGTTTGTCCTGGAGAAGGTGAAGCCAGAATGCTCCTTGGAGTTAAGGATTCTGAAGCTTCATCTGACATACTTTGGACATGTTGCAAGGAGAGACTGGTCCTTGGAGAGGGACATCATGTTTGGGAGAGTGGAGGGACAGCACAGGAGAGGAAGCCCCTCGATGAGATGAATCAATTCTGTGACTGGAGTGGCGGGAATGAGTGTGTTTGAGATGGCAAGGTTGTCACAGGATAGAACGACGTTTAGGACTCTTGTACATAGGGTCGCTATGAGTTCCAAGCGACTCGATGGCACATAACAGCAACAACAACAACAACAATCCTAAAGGACAATAGTGTCAGTGATAGGATACTACTGCTAGCTATATGCCTACAGGGAAGACCTGTTAGTACGACTACTATTCAAATATGTGCATCAATAACTAAAAGTGAAGAGGAGAAAATTGAGGATTTCCACAATTGAAGTGAGACAAACATACCAGCAATATGCATTAATAATTATTGGTGACTGGAGTGTAGAAGTAGAAAAAAATGAGGAAGGAATGGTAGTTGATCTTGGTGACAGAAGTAAGGCTGGAGATAGAATAGTTGAATTTTGTAAATTCAATGATTTGTTCATCACAAACCTCTTTTTAAAAAAACATAAAAGGTGACTTTACACATGAACCTCAGCTGATGGACAGCATAGGAATCAGATTGACTACCTCTGTGGAAAGAATAATTGGGGAAGCCAAATATCAGCAGTTAAAACCAGACCAGTTGTTGACTATAGAACTACTACTATACCAACTACTCAAGTGCAAGTTCAAATTGGAGCTAAAAAAAAAAATTAAAATATCTCTGTCAGAACCAACATATGACCTGGAGTCTATCTCACTGAATTTATAAATTATCTTAAGAACAGGTTTGAGGAATTAGACACTAGCAGTCGAAGATCAGAGGAGCTGTGGAATGACATCAAGGATCTGATCCATAAAGAGAACAAAAGGTCATTACAAAGACGGAGAAAGAAAAAACCAAAATGAAGGTCATAAGAGACTCTGAATAGTGCACTAGTGCATCAAGAATTCAAAACAAAGGGAAGAGATGCTGAAGTAAAAGAGCTGAACAGAAGATTTCAAAGGGCAGCTCGAGAAGATAGAACAAAAATATTATAATGGAATGTACAAAGAGCTGGAGTTGAAGAATAAAAAGAGAAGAATTCACTCAGCTTTTCTCATGGTGAAATAACGGAAAAGAACAAATTCAATCCTCAAATTGCAATATAGGAAATATTTTATTTGATTCTAAGTCTATAAATAATATTTTTTCAATTTACTAATTCGTAGACATTTTGTCTTATAACATTAATTATAATTTATTAATGTCATTAATTATAATAGTTAATAAATTTTTTATTATATGTTACTTTTCCTTCAACTTATGTGTTCATATTTATCCCCCTTTCCCTCTGTTCTCATCTCAGTTCTCATGAATCTCGCCAAGATTGATTCTGTATTTACATATCATCTTCTTTAATAGCTTTTTATTCCACTTAGACTGTGACTTTTTGAGAACTTTAGGGATGATCTGTATGTATTTGGTGGGTCATTAGAAATGTGTTTTTATATTCTGCTTCTTAGAGTTGACAATAATGAATAGGAGACTTGTCCTGAAAGGTAACTGGACTGGTACTTATTTTCATATTATATATTAATAGAGCTGAAAGGAAAGTTCCTCAAAAGATCTTCTTCTAGGGGAGCTCTGGTGGCCTAGTGGCAAGGAGCTGCAACTGCAATCCCAGAGGTGCATGGTTTGAATCCACTAGATGCTCTGCTGGGGAAGGAGGGACGATCTCCTCCTGTACCAGTCAGATCTGATTTGACAGTACACACACACAAAAATAATAAAATTAAAAAAAAGATCTTCTTCTTCATAGAAGACTAAATGGCACCTAACAACAACAATAACAATAGCAACAACAACAACAACTTGGGGAAATGCAATCTGAGTGCCAATATTGAATATTTATGTTGCATATGGCCTCCAGTCCATCCATCCATCCACTCATTCACCATAAAAGTCCCTTGAGTGCCTACAGAGAGTGGAATGTCTACAAAGTGTACACAAAACAAATGACAATGGGTTCCTGTCCCCTAGTCCTGTTGGCATTTGAGTTAGACAACTGAATGCTAACCAGTAGATTTTAGTGGTTTGAACCCACCAGCTCACCAGCTTTAGCACAGGAGAAAGCAATGTCAGTCTACTTCCATAAAGATTTACAGCTTTGGAGATCCCAATGGGACAGTTCTCTGTCCTATAAGGCTGCTATGAGTTCCCTTAAGATTTAAACCAAGAGAAACCAACAACTATTTTCATAGAAATAAAGAAATCATATCCCATTTTGAATATCACAGTTTAACCAGGGGCTCACTTTCTCTTTTCAGCACCACCTGAAAAAGCTGGAAGGCCGCCGCCTGGATTATGATTATAAAAAGAAGCGAGTAGGTAAGATACCAGATGAAGAAGTCAGACAAGCGGTAGAAAAATTTGAAGAGTCAAAGGAGTTGGCTGAAAGAAGCATGTTTAATTTTTTAGAAAATGATGTAAGTATTAAAACCAAACAGGAGACTTTCTTATAAATAAAACATTGATTCTCTGACAGTGCCAGTATGTTAAGAAGCTCTTGAGCCTTTGTTGTTAGAAAAGTTTCTAGAATTTTCTCCTGCCTCCAAGATGGCCATGTGACACCCAGGAAGATGCAACTCAAATCTCCTGGGAAGCTCTTGTTTATCCCAGGATTGTTTCAGAGATGTGCTTTGATCAACTCCAGGGGAAGGTGGCCTGTCTTAGGAACACAGCAGAGTTGACTTCCGTGTTTGAGGCCATGCATAACTTTTGTGGTTTCACAGGAGAATAGAAACCCTGTCTCATGGGGTAACTTGCACTTTTGCTAAGATTGTGAAAAACTTTCTGCGAGGCAGATGTTTGAGGGGAGCAGGGCTGTTAAGAAGCTAAAGAGCCTCTCTCATCCCCCACTCTCTGATTGACGCCTTTCCTAGTCATGGCTGAATATGGAGGATACAGAAGCATGGTTAAAGTTTTTGGCTGTGGTATAGGGGTGCTTGGGAGCCCTGGTGGCCTAGGGGCAAAAATCTGTGCTGCAGTCCCAAAGGCAAGCGGTTTGAGTCCAACAGCTGCTCCACGGGAGAAGGATGGGCAATCTCCTCTCGTGTGATTTAGCTTCTTAAAACCCACTGGAATTTCAGCTATGGGTCGATTCTACTTAACAGTACACAACACACATCATGGTGCTGGTGAACTTGAAGATTGTCAGGGTCTTGGGTCACATAATCTACTATACTGTGATTCTTGCTTGTCAACTTCTGTTTTGTTTGTCAGTGAAGCCAGGAGACAGTGGAGTCCTTGTATGGTGCCAGTGGTTAGTTAATGTACCTGGGTCAGCTGCCCACTGAATGGTTGGAGGTTTGAGTCCACTCACAGGTACCTGATGATCCACTTTGGAAGAATTGCAACCTCTGAAAACCACAGTTCTACCGTGACGCACACAGGCTCACAGTGAGTTGGAAAGAACTCAGTGACAACTGGTTTGTTAAAGGAGGAGGTTGTAAATCCCATAGGACAACATTGCCCTTCTTTCTCCTGAGGACCCGCTGGTGGAGTCGAACTGCTGGAAAGGTGCTGTCTTTGTTAACAGTGCAGCTCCCTGTAGACAGAGGCACCAGAGCTCTCCTGTGGCCTTGTAAAACAGCTTGAAACCTCCTCCTACTCTGCAGACCATGCTTGATAAAGCAGAGGGTTGATGGACAAGAAGATCTTTAATGAGCTAGATTGACACAGTGACTGTAACAGCGGGATCAAACATCACAATGATTATGATGATGGTACAGGACTGGGCAAGGCTTTGTTCTGTTCATGGGATAAAATAAGTTGGAACTGACTTGATGTCACCCAGCCACAGCCACAATCGCTGACTGGCACCATGCTGGCTGAGGGCCACCTTCTTTTGCTTTGGTGACAAGGTGGCATCGAGCAGAAGAGACTTTGGCCATCTGCCTCCCTTGTGAGTCCCTGCCATGAGCCCGGCCTTATGCAGGCGTGAGCCTTCTAACCTGGGCCAAGCCTAGCTCTACTTGTTCTATATTCCAACCTGTAAAGACAATCCAGGGGGTTTATTTATCCCACAACCATGCTCTACTTGTAATAGTTTATTTAAAGGTACACCTACATCTTGCATCTTTTGATTCAAGCCAAATAAAATAAAAGCACTGGACACTTTTTATGTCCCATGATGAAATATGTGAGAATCATGCCCACTGTTGACAAAGCAGTAATCCTAGAGGAACCTGGGTGACTGGTTCTCCCACCCTTGAAACCCTCAGAAGCTGAGAAGCACACATTAGCTTTCTCATTTTTTGTTTTGCTCCATTTTGATGGAGGATAGGAAGTGGTCTGCTCTGTTTGTCTTTTTTTTTAAATTGTTTGTTTTCCCTTAAAATTTTGAATTTTCTCTTGAAATTGTCTCCAAGAGGCTTGTTTTTGTTTTGTCTTGGATTCAATATCTGAAACCTCCCTTGATGAGTAGGCAAGGTCCAGGCTCTGCAGATAATTGTATTTTTAACAAACCATGGAGTTGTGGCAACCCTGTGGTGAGCACGTGTACCAGTGCCATTTATACAGTATTATGGGCTCCTTTTATGCCTCGGTGTGACATTTGGGCAATTCTCACATTATTTTAAACTTTCTATATTGCTATTGTCCACATAATAGACTACAGTTTACTGTAACCATAATTTTTTACACTGGGAAAATGGAAGAAGAAACAAGTGTGAGACTCATTTTATTGCCCTATGTGCTTTATGCAGTTGTGTTTCAGAACCAAACCTGCAGTGACTCTGAGATGTGGCTGTTTAGATAATCTTCTTCATTTCACTTGTTTCATCTGAAACGCTTCTGGAATTGCCTGGTAGTTGTGGAGAAGTGGACAGGACTTGAAGGAAAGGCAAAGTAGCAATGCATGGTCGGGTGGGCCAGACTTTGAATCTTCAGCTTCATCTTGAGCCTTTCTCTGGAGATCAGATTGGAACCAGTGGCACTGCAGCCCACAGGACTTGGTTTCCCGTTTTCTCTAGGTCACCAGCTCCATACCCTGCCTGTGTCACTCAGCCTCTCACTTGCATCTGTTTTCCTTCCCTGGGGAGAAGCCCTGAAGGAAGCACTGTACTTCAGGAGGACCAGTGATGGCTGATTTTTATCCTGGAGTTATAGGTGGCTGGAACTGGTATAAGCCCCAGACTAAACATAGTGGGTCTGCAACCTGCACCATTGCTGATGGCTTGGATTGCACCTGCCTGAGCTCTCACCTGCTGGAGACAGATGCACTTCTCCCAACTTCCTGTGGATAGAAAGACTCTATCTAACACGTGACCTCCTGGAAACATGGCTGATAGCCTAGACTCTGACATTTCTTCCAAACACCAATGGGAGATGCTTATAGTTAAAAGAACAGTTGCCGTCAAGTCAGTTACGACTCGGGACAATCCCGTGTGCGTCAGAACTGTGCTCCACAGGGTCTTCAGTGACTGATTTTTCACAAGTTGCCAGGCTTTTCTTCTGCAGTACCTCCAAGTAGATTCAAACATCTTGAATCTTTGTATTAGCACCTAAGAATGTAACTGCTTATCCTACACACCCCCTCTTCTTGTGCTTCTGTTATTGTAGGTTAGAAGTTTTGATGGGTATCAGTCAAAGCAATTCTCATCTTCAGGTTTAGACCAGCTGAGGAATTAGCACAAAGAGCCAGATGAGAATGAAAGAGGACCTCTTGCAGAACAGCTTTGCCCACCCATTAACTGCATGATACAGGCCACCTGGTCAGCATCACTGGAAGGTGTAATGTGGACCTGAAGTCAAGCCAATGTGTTCTGTTCTGTGGGTCTCAGTTGATGAAGAAAGCTCAGCATGGCCTCATGACTCACCTACCTAGAATCTGTGGACCAGACCTTGCCTGCCATCTGCCCAGGAAAAGTCAGTTTTTGAGACAGAGTAACTCATCCTGTTCCCTAAGGTACACTCCTCAATCTTCTCCACAGGAGGAAGAAAAAAATAAGAGGAGGTGAAGAAAGGGCCTGAAAGTACTCACTCCACAGCCACGGGCAATAAGAAGAGTCAAGGAAATCGTTTGAGGCAGTATGCTTGGTGCCTTGCGGCTATCCACCCATCTCTTTTTGGCAAGAATAGTTCAAAAGCTCAAATGTCGCTCTCCAGAGAACAGCCTGTGCTTTATCCAGCCCTCATGCCCTACATTCCTGGCTAACACATGGTAAAAATTTCACCAGTTGATGCCTAAAATCCTTATTTGCCAAATTTCTGCCTGATTTGTGGAGAGCCCTAAGAGGTAAAATGCATCTGCAGTAAACACACAGGCTGTGTGCAATGTGAGTGGTCTACCAGACGGATGAAGGGGGTCCTCCTGGCTGTGGCGGAGAGCACTCCGGTGGCTCAGTGGGTAAGGAGCTGTGCTGCCAACCCTGAGTCAGGCCACTTGAGTCCACCAGCTTCTCTGTGGGAGAAAGATGGGCAGAGCCCTGTTAAGTGATGTATAGCCTCTGAAAACCTTCTCAAGGGCCAACTGTTGAGTTGGACTTGACCCTCAGCTATGAGAGAAAGAGGAGGAAGTGTTGAGGGAAGAGGGGAGGGAGGACAGAGGAGAGAGGAGAGAGGGAGAAAAACTAGATATCAATCTGGCTAGGAGTAGCCCTGATGGTACATATTGGTAAGTGCTTGGCTGCTAACTAAAAGGATGGTGATTCAAAGCCAGCCAGTATCCCTGCAGAATAAAGACCTTTATGGCTCCCCATAAAGCTTGGAAAACCCCACGGAGTGGTTCTACTCTGTCAAATGAGTTCACTGTGAATAAAAAGAAAACCTAATTAATGGTGCCCAACAACGCTATCACCTATGCTGTGGTGCCCCCCTGAGAAAAGAGGTGTTGTTGTTGTTATGTGCCGTCGAGTCGCCTGCAACTCATAGCGACCCTATGTACAACAGCCATAAACTCTGCTCTATCCTGTTCCAATCTCACTGTCTCCAACACACTCATCCTGATTACTCCAGTCACTGAGTCAATCCACCTCCTAGAGGGTCTTCCTCTCCTGCGCTGCTCTCCACCCTCCCAAGCATGATGCTTCTCTATAAGGACCGGTCTCTCCTTACAACATGTCCAAAGTATGTCAGACGAAGCCTCAGAATCCTTGCCTCCAAAGAGCAGTCTGTTTTAACCCTCTCCAAGATGAATCTGTTTGTTTTCTTAGCAGTCCATGGTACCCTCAATACTCTTCTCCAGCACCACAGCTCAAAGGCATCAATTCTCCTTATATCCTCCTTAATCATTGTCCAGCCCTCTGATGCATAGCAAGTGATTACAAAAACCCTGGCCTGAGTAGACTTTATTAATAAACAAGGTCCCTAGGCTCAAGCATGATGGTTCATTACTCTCTCTGAGTTTGGTTCGTATGTGTCTCAAGTCAATAATTTATATCTTCTTGAAGCAGCCTAGTATCAGTTTTCTATTGCTGCTGTAACAAATGACCACAAATAGTGCAGTTTAAAACCATACACCATATTATCTTATAGTTGAGGGTGTGTTCTATATGGAGACACCAAGAAAGACTCTGTTGCTTTGGCTTTTTGTCCTTCTAGAGATCACCTGCATTCCTTGTCTCCTAGACTTTCTCTGTCTTCAACCCCAGCACCATCACCTCTTCAGACATCTCCCCCTGACTTCAGCTTCTTATCCTCAAATCTTCTCTGACTTTGACCTTCAGAGGGGTCCTTGGGATTAAACCAGCCACATTTCAGTTGTACCTCCTCGTCTCCTCATCTCAAGATATTTAACAATCCTGCCTATAAAATCCCCTGGGCCATTAGGGAAGGTAACAATCTATTCACAGGTGACAGAGGATATGGATATCATTGGGAAGTCATTATTCTGTCTCCATAATTCTGGATTTATCACTCGATAGTTTTGTGGTCTCCATCCTACCCCTGTTAGTCAACATTGCCTACATCTGGCCTGTGTGTTGTAGCCAACAGGACAATCTGTTTGCATGATGAGTTTCTCACTTCTGGCATAAAAACTGGGTATGACTCCCAGTTAACAGCTTGTGCACTTTGCTTTCCGAGGAGGGGCTAATTCCTTGCTAAGTCTATGCCTGTAGAACCACAGCGACACTGAGTGTAGTGAAGCTTTCAGGATTACTAGGCAAGACCACATGTTGCTCTCAAGGTGGCAGGAGACTGCCCCGTAGGCTGTGGGGCACAGGCCAGATACAGACAATGGTGGTTACCACGGGTGGGATGGAGAACCATGATCTCAGCCTGGAAGTAAAATATGCTTTTCTTTCTCATCTCAGTTGATCTTTCTTGACTGGACTGATGGATTTGCCCAATTGAAAGACAATAGTGGAAAATAATGTTTCCTTTCTGAACAGGTTTATTGCTTTCATTTGTCTGTCCAGGTATTTAATTCACAGACATTCTTAAAAAAATTGTATCCAGTAGAAGTCAACATCATATTACAAAAAAAAAAAAAAAGTCATGCATCGTGACCAAGTGAGATTCATACCAGATATGCAAGCATGGTTCAACATGAGAAAAACCACCCATGAAATCCATTATATAAATTTTAAAGAAGGGGAAAGAATCATATGAATATACCAATTGTTGCATAAAAGGTATTTGACAAAACTCACCACTGTTTGCTTATAAAACTCTGAATGAATTGGGATTTGGGAAGCAGAAGCCCCCATGCCACCGTGCAGGTACCTGCGTGCTCCTAGTCTGAGAGTCGGCTGGAAGCTTTCATCTTCTGGCATGGAAAGAAGACAGCTCACTTCACAGCTCGTTGCCATGGTGTCAGAACCAACTCATCGCTCATGAACTATTGGCTCTCGGAGGTTCCAAATTACATGGGAAGAGATTACCCATTTTTCGCTCCTGCTGCTGATGGGTTCAAACTGCCAGAGAGGCGCCACCTAGAGGTTAGCAATGCAACTTCCTGTAGACTACAGGTGTACCACATACTTTCACTGTCACCTCTTAGAAGCCCCCTTCAGTACTGACATCAGGAACCTGCTGCAGTCTGCACACTACTGTTGTTGTTTCCCCAAGCTCTGAGGGGCTCACAGGACATAAGTCCTTCTGAAAGTCAGTCATCAAGTAGAAATACTGGGAATGGGTCACTAAGTTATATAATGTTTATTTTAATCACATCAGAGAGGCTAGTTGGTGAACCTCTCCACTCTATATAAATTACAAGAATTACTAATTTGGTAATTTTTCTTCTCCCCCCAATTATAAAATGTCAAAATATCTTTCAAAGTGAGTATTAAAACAGGAGAAATTGATTTTGGTTAAAGACAGAGTTTTTACCAGCTTGGGCACAGATTTTACCAAGCTCACAAATTGAGCATTATAAAGGTTGAAAAGCTCTTTCTGTACCAAATTCTTCTGTGATCGAGTTAGGCTGTGGAGCATGCTGCTGGGCTTATTTAAAAGTACTTGTGAGAGCCAGAGGTGAAACTTAAGAAATCCGTAGGATTTTGTAGGGGCCAGGCTGTCTTTGTTTTGTTTATTGGGTTTTTGGAAATTTAAGACTAGGCTTGTTGGCCTCTTTTTCCAGCCACAAGAGCTGGGAAGGTAAATGTAACATGATGGAATTTCATTGTTCAAATGCTCATCCCAGTTTGGCTCGAGTGTCATGCCATGTACATCTTAAATATATAGTGAGCTCGTGTTTAAAGTCGTTTAAATCAGTAAGGGAGAATGCAGATATAGGCAACTTAAACATGATTTGCAACAGCAAAGGGAAACAGCTTAGGTCTTCGAAGGCAAACTGACCCCATAATTGGTTACACAGAGTGAGACTACACATATGAGTGAATGAGTGGGACTGACTTCCCCCCTCCTCCGAAGTAAATGAAATTCAAACTCACTGCTGTCAATTTGGAATCTCCTCGTAGCCGACCTTCCAGCGAGTTTCTGAGGCTGTGTATCACACAGGCCTTTGGAGGCCCTGGTGCATTCAAACTGCTAGTGAAGTGCAATCTTTGAGTTAGCAGTTCTTTACTTTGGAAGCTGATTAGAAAATTAAAGGACAAGACATAGGCTTTCCCAATACTTCAGAAGAGCAGGGCTGATTTTGATTGGAGTCCTTGTCCAGAGCTACAACTCATGGAATCAGTTGCTTTTGGGAGGCCCATCCTCTCCTTCTCGTGGTTCTGCCTCTAAGGCTTTCGAGAAATAAGTTTAATTAATTAATCATTGCAGGAGCGGCACATGGGGGGAACTCTCAGGCCTTCCTGGAGACTCTTACATTTGGAGCATCCTCATGTCTTCTAGCGTTTTCCTAGGTGACAAAACCAGTAGCCAGTTGTCCTCCAGTTGATTTTGACCCTTGCTGTCTCCACGTGTGACACAGTAGAACTGAGCTCCACAGGGTTTTCAGCGGCTGGTGTTTTGGGAGTAGACTACCACATTTGTCTTTTGAGATGTCTCTGGGTGCACTTGAACCTCCATCCTTTTGATTGTCGTTCATTGTCATTGAATTGGAACCAACTCATACTGACTCTCCAGGGAATAATAAATCATCTGGGAGGAGAGTGTCCATTTTTCTGCCAAAGAGTAACTAGAGGATTTGAACTGCCTGCCTTTGATGTGGCAGTGTAGTTCCTTACCGCTAGGCTGCCAGAACTCCCTTCCTTTTGATTGTTGTTGTGTACTATCAAATAAGAACCGGCTCAGAGATGAACCTGCAGCAGGTTTTCAAAGGCAGTAAATTGCACAGAAGGAGAGACCACCAATCTTTTCTTCTGTGGAGCAACTGGTGGATTCGTTCCACATACCTTCTTAGGTAACACAGCTTCTCTTTCTTCACTTAAAAACATTGTCAGTAAATTGATTGTGAATTTAGTGAATGTCTTTACAGAAATGATGCACAAGTCTTTATATTTTATTACTTTTGGCTCTTTGCTTGAGTTATCCTGTGCCTCTAGCAATATGTAAAAAGCCTTGGTGAAGCATTACCTTGGCGCACTGCTTGCTCCACTGCACAGCTCAATTTACCTTGCTTCTTGATTTATCTAAGCCAGAAAGTGCCCACCGAGACAATTTATGTAGTAAGCAGTTAATTTTCTAAATATTGGCTGCACTTCTAATCGGAAAAGCTTTATTTCCCTGTTTTCAGATCCATAAGCTTTCTAGCATTAAAAAAAAACAAAAAAACACAACCAGCCAACAAACCCAAACACGTCCTGAGAATGCCATCTAATTGGAAAAGCAGACGTTTTCTTGTGTTAGATACAACTCCTAATCACAAATGGATGTGACCATGTTCTTCCAGCACACATAGCCCTTGGACTGTGGCCCTTGGGGTCACCGGGCAGAGCTGTGAGATGAGATGGAGCGAAGTGGACCTGAGAGGAGGCCTGGGACTTCCCTGCAGTGGAGTCCTAATTGCTGGTTTCTCTGAACATTACGTGGGCTGTGCCTTCATGGAGTAATTTCCCACCTCTGCTGCAGGTAGAGCAAGTCAGCCAGTTGGCCGTGTTTGTAGAGGCAGCGTTAGACTATCACCGGCAGTCTGCGGAGATTTTGCAGGAGCTGCACAGCAAGCTGCAGATGCGGTGAGAGCCTCCTTCCCTCCTCCTTCTTCAGGGCAAAGCACTGCTGCACCGCTGCACCTTGAACAGCTCTCCACACCACCTTCCTTCCCTCTCCTCCCTCCCTCTGCCTCCTCCCTTCCTTTCTGTGTTTTCTCTTACCTCCCGTATCTTTCCCCCTCTCCCAGTCCCTTCTCTCCCCCTTCTCCAGCCTATTTTAAATTTTCCTGAGCTGGGTTCCTTGGCACCAGATAGGATTGAGCTAATAGTGTTTGGGCCAATATGACAGACCTGGGAATAGGGATCTAGCAATTCTCCCTTCCTTTTCTTTTTACCTTATCATGAAAGCCCTTTTTCTTGATCTGCTGCCATCTCTCTCCTCACTTCCCGCTGACTTGATGAGAGTCTGGCTCCCCATTTTCATTCAGAGGGTGGTGATGGTGTGTTATTGCACCCTTCAACTCCTTGGGTTTTAGACAAGGAAGTGATAATATTCAGGAAATATGTCAACATCTAGGGAAGGAAACATTTTTACGTAAACCATGCAGATATCAAGCCATGTTTGTAATGTTGATTCTAAGAGGTATTTAATTAAAAGGTATTAAAGACACAAGAGATATTTTAAGAAACCCCCAAACTGAAAAGCCTGAACCCACTGCCTTCTAGTCAATTACATTTCATAACCACTGGACCTTTGGTTTCTGAGGAGATTGACCATTTTGTCCCCCAAGGAGCTGCTGGTAGATTCAAACTGCTGGCATTTCTGTTGTCAGTCTGATAAGAAACACACTGCATCCCCAAGTCTCCTGTAAGAAGTATTAGAAAAGTAAAAATATATTTTTGACAAAGAAAAATTGCTGCATTCCTCACAGTCCTAAAACATTAGTATGTTTTCCTGAAAATTAGTTCTCTCATGTGCGGTCTGCCAGGTAACCCTATCTAACAACTGGGTTGCAGTATCCCCATTTCATAGTGGTCATGCTTGCACAATGGGATGAACGTAATTGGTGTCATGGTAAAATCGGTGTACATGTAAAAAAAGTGTTCACTTGCCAAATGTTTCTTTTATATGTGTGTATGTCACTATAAAACAGCTTCAAAAATCTTCATTCTCCCCCCACTACCACACAGGATAACAGAAAACTGGTTCTATGTAGGATTATTATAATGAATAAATTTGGAGAGACTTGTCCCTGTTATCAGTGCCCTGGGTATAGTGACCAGGTGAAATTGGTGTCCTGTCCCTGATGGATGTCCTCCTGTGGGCAGATAGTTCTCCTCGGATTCATGAGAGATTTCTTCTTCACGGCTATGTCTGTATAGAGGCCAAAGACACCATACAGGCTGACAGTGTGTCCAGCTTGGGTGCTGTGATGATGCTGGAAGTTGTGCCACCAGCATTTCAGATACCAACAGGGTCACTTGTTGTGGACAGAAGTGCTTCTAGACTGAGACGGAGTAGAAGGAAAGGCTTGGTGCTGGAGCACAGCCCTGCTAGGAAAGCTAATCAGAATGCAGGGTGACTGCTGCAGTGGCTGCAACCAACTGAGGATCATTAAGATGCTACAGGACCAGGGAGAGAGGGAGAGAGACAGAGAGAATGTGTGTGTTGCTATAAGTTGGAGCCAAGCTGATGGCTACTAACAGGAAAATCAAGAGAAGAAAGACAGAGGAGGCAGCTGACCCTTTTGGGTTCCTGCTGCATCTCGGGCACTTGCTGGATATCTCGGGGACTTTCTGAGAAATAAGCACCCTTCTTCAAGATGCATTTTGCTTAAAAGTTCAAATAAGTAGTTGAAGAGAAGACATGTCAGACATGGTGTCTATCAGTGTGGGTTATTTACTCCTTAGAATATCCAACCACATAAAGTCAAAAGGGTAAAATTTACCCAAGGACAAAGCCCTGGAGGCAGGAAGGGAGTAGGAGTAGAAGGATTAATGGAAATGAAAATTATAGGAAGTGGGAAAAGTGTGATTATATTGTAGGTATTATAATTAATATCATAAAACAAAATATAGGTGAATGGTTGCATGGAAAACCAATTTTATTTGTAAACATGCACTCAAATCACAACAAAAAAATGGACAAGCAAAAATAATATATGTTATAAAAATCATGAACATAGCATATAGCCCCAGTGTGTGTCTTAGCCAAGTGCCTGTATGTGTAGTAGACACTTCCCTGCACCAGATCTCTAACTTACCTTAAACATGTGTTCCAGAATCACGGCCGCCTCTGACATCCCCAAGCGAGAGTACCACCCAAGGCCCATCAAAAGGAATTCTTGTGAGTTCAATGGGATTCCTACCACCCCTTCAGTGAAGACAACAGGTGAGATGACCACCCATGTGCCCAACAGAAAGGTCCTTCTAGAATTTACTTACTGCCTGTTGCTAGGTCTGATTTGTATGTATGTGCTGGGATTCTAACTTTGGTTAGTTAATCTTTTTTTCTACCTCCCACAATAATGCTCCCTTTTTCAAATATCTGGTCTCAGATACTTAAATCTCTTTTTGAAAATCAGGAAGAATCTTAACAACTTCTTGCCTTCTAATGCTTTAAGGGAACTCTGGTGGCCTAGTGGGTAAGGAGTTGTACTGCTAACCCAAAGGCAGGCAGTTTGAATCTTCCAATTGCTTTCTGGGAGGAAGATGGGCAGTCTCTTTCTGTGTGATTTTTAGCCTCTGAAAATCCACTGTAGGATGAGCTATGAGTCACTTCTAACCCAATGGCTCATAACAAGAATGTGTTTAACCTTTGCTATAAACCAGTCACATTATTATTTTTATTTAGGATTTTAATTCTTTGAAAATAGTCCATTAATTAGCTTTTCAAAAGGGTTTATTAGCAGTTTTTTAGTTCCTGCCATGTTCTGGGTAGTATCTTAAGTGCTAAACAATTTTTCTAATTATATGATTGACACATGCATATATTGAGTAAAATCACCAAGCCAAAACAAAAATATGTTCAAATGATGTAAGTCTTGCTATAATTTCCTATGAGCACCCTCTCCATCCCAGTTTCTCCCTAGAAATAGCCACTTAATAATGTGCTATGAATGCTACCGTGTGCATATATAATTAGTACATATACACAAAATAGTGGATTTTTGTACAGTCCTACTTAAAACAATCTACATATTATAATGCAATCCAATATGGATACAAAATTCATTTTTCAATGAGATTTAAAAGACAATTGTCAAGTTTATTTGGAGAGGAAAGAGACCTTGAATAAACCAAGTGCTTCTGAAAAACAAAAATTAAATGGGAGGCATAGCACTCCTTGACCTCAAAACCTACTACACAGCTGTAATACAAAATTAGTATGGTACCAGTACAATGACAGGCACATAGACCAATGGAACAGAATCAAGAACCCAGAAATTAACCCATCTATCTATTGTCAACTGATATTCAACAAGGAAACAAAACTATCAAATGGGGAAACCACAAACTCTTCAACAAATGGTGCCAGCAAAACTGGAAAACCTGCAGAAAGCTGATGTATATCCACACCTCTCACTGTATCAACTCAATCACCATATCACCAATCAACTCAAGGTGGATCAGATGCCTAGGCATAAAGCCATAAGCATCATAAGATATAAACTAGGACCAAGGCTGGAAGGAATCACCAAGGTTGGAAGCTGTCAAATACACCAGAAATAGACAACAAGGAGATGATAAATTGATGTATGGGACAAGAAAAAGATTGAATCCCTGTGTACATAAAAAAAAAAATTTCCAATAGGGTGAAAAGAAAACCTACTGACTAGGAAAATGTATTTGGCAATACCATTTCAACACAAGGGTTTAAAAATAAAAGCTTACAGAATCCTATATAAGGATTCCGTAATCTTACAAGAGAAAAGACTGACAGTCCAATTACAAAATGGGCAAAAGACATGAAAAGAATTTTCTTAGAGGAAGGCATTTGGATGGCCAACAGATACACTGGCAATAAGAGAGATGAAAATCAAACCCATAAAGTTTATGGTTAATAGAGTAGCACCAACTCTTGGCACCAACAGTCAGGAGACCAAAAGACAAGTTGTTTTAGTAAAGTCTGCCTATTTGGAACCTCTCCAGAATGCTAAAGAGCAACAATATTAATCTAGAGACTAAGGTGCACCTGACCTAGGTCCTAGTCGTCTCAATTGCTTATTGTGCATCTGGACAATGCTGGACAATGACTAAGGATGACAGAAGAACAGATGCTTATGAGTTGTCGTGCTGGTGAAGAGTACTGAACCTATACCTTGTACTGCCAAAAGAACAAAAAGGCTTGTACTGGAGAGGGTGAAACTAGATTGCTCCTTAGAGGCAAGGATTTTGAAACTCCATCTCACATACTCTGGTCATGTCGCCAGGAGAAACCAGTCCTTGGAGAAGGACTTTGTGTATGGAAGGGTAGAGGGACAGCACAGGAGAGGAGGACCTTGGGTGAGATGGATTGATACAATGACTGTGGGAGTGGGGTCAGGTGTGTCAGAGATGGTGAGGTTGGTTCAGGATAGGGTTCAGAGCTAGTGTGCATATAGGGTAGATATGAGTCATAGTCAAGTCGATGGCACATAACACCAACAACACGGAAGAGAGAGAGAGAAAACACCCTAGTGAGAATGGGAGCCCTAGAGTGGGGCAGTAGTTAAGAGCTTGTCTGCCAGTGACACCACAGGAGAAAGATGCAGTTGGTTTCTGTATAGATTTACAGACTTGGAAGCCCTTCTACTCTGATCTATAGGATCGCTTTGAGAAGGAATAGATGAGTGTGCAATGAGTATATACACGTGTGTATAGAGAACTCAGGTGGCCTAGTCTTGTGCTACTAATTCAAAGGTGTTTGCCGTCTCGTGATTTGAATGCACCCTGGTGGGAGAAAGTTGGGAAATCTCCTCTCTTGTGATTTGCAACCTCTGAAAACATACTGGAGAGTCAGCTATGAGTTGCCACCACTTGATGGCAAAGAGAGAATTTTATATTATATATAAATTATGTTGTCGTTGTTGATTGCCATTGAGTCAAACATGACTCATAGTGACCCTATGAATAAAAAACATGAAGGCTTTTCATAACTATTGACATTTATCAAAGTTCATAGAGTTTCCAGAGGCATGTTGTTTAGGAAGTGGATGCCACTCTTGCTTCCCAATATGAATTATAGACGAAAGTGTGTCTGATACTGGCCATGGTCTTTGCAGTTACTTGCTATGCATCAAAAAGCTGGGCAATTGCTAGGGATGAGTTGATGCCTTTGAGCTGTGGTGCTGGAGAAAAGTACTGAATATACCATGGACTGCTAAGGGAGCCAACAATTTCATCCTGGAGAGGGTGAAGCCAGGCTGCTCCTTGGAGACAAGGATTCTGAAGTTCCATCTGACATACTTAGGACTATGTTGCAAGGAGGCACCAGTCCTTGGAGAGGGACATAATGCTTGGGAGGGTGGAGGGGCAGCGCAAGAGAGGAAGACCCTGGATGAGATGGATTGACTCTGACTGGAGTGGTTGGTGTGGGTGTGTCAAAGGTGATGAGATTGGCATAAGACAGATAGATCAGGGTTCAGAGCTATTGTATTGTCAAGTGACTTGACAGCACTTAACAACAAAAACAACTACAGCTGAATATCCCATCAACTACCAGAAGCACAAACAGGTATCTCTTGGAAAAAGTCCAGCCAGAGTGGATGCAAGGATAGCAAGGTTTCACCTCACATACTTCGGGCATGTTGTTAGGAGGGGCTGTTTCTTGGAGAGGGACATCATGCTTGGGAAGGTGGAGGTTCAGCAAAAGAGAGGAAGACCCTCAACAAGATAGATGGACTGCCTCTGTGGGTACAAATGTGTCAAAGATGGTGAGGACAGCACAGGATAAGAAGGGTTCAGATCAACAGGTACAGCATATAAACACACACATATACATTATTTGTCCACTAATGCATGTGGGTTTTTTTAAGTTGTTTTTTTTATTTTTTTATTTTATTTGTGTGTGTGTGTGTACCATCAAATCAGATCTGACTGGTTCAGGTATTGTCAAATCATCTTTCTCAATTATCATACTACTGGTAGTGTGTAAACTCCCAAACCCACATCAGCAGACTTCAGTGCGTGGCTCATACGTAACAGATGATACTCAATTTAATTTTATCTTTCCATGGTTAATGATGAGGCTGAATTTTTGCCCATCACATAGAGTTATCACACCTTCTTAGGCTACTCTTGGCTCTGACTGTTTCCAAGATTGTTCTTGTCCATTCCGTAACATTTTGTGGTGCTCTAGTTCTATTTTGTAGAAAGTTTCTCAGATGAGGTTTGGTAATGTTTTCCTTGTTGTTAAACTGGGTTTGGGGAGGTGAGAACCTAGATCTAAATGACCATTTCCATCACCTCCTGTCAAAGGATGCCCTTTCAAGAAGATGGTTCACTGTTGACATTGATGACCTGGTTGAGGTAGTGTTAGGTTTCTCCACAGTAAAATTAATTTTTGTTTTTAATGTGAGAAGGTTTTAGACTACAGATTCCTTCTCTTTAGTGAATATAAAACGACTGAGGTAATCTGTTTCTTCTTGGGTGAACTTTGGTAGTTTGTGTCTTAGGAAGAATGTGTTTCTTTCCTCTAACTTGTCCAATTCATTGGTATAAGGTTATAAATTCCCTTAGGATAGCTTTAATATCTACAGAATCCATAATGATGCTACCTCTCTCATTGTCTATTTGTGTATTCTTTCTGTTTCTGGATCTTTCTAGTTAGAGATTTAACAATTTTGTTTATCTTTTCATTCAGTATTTCTGCCTGAATGCAGATAGATGTCTCAGCTCTCCTGTGACTGGAGACAGGCTGAGGAGAGAGGAGGAGTTGTGTGGCTGCTTTTCTCCCAGAATGCCTTCCACTCCAACATGCCTCCAGTGTTCACTTACCATGGTCTCTGGGCCCTCTAAGAGCTTGCTGTTTGAATCCTCCCTCTTCAAGAATCCTTTAGAGTTTAGCTTCTTTCTTCTCCTGTCTTCCGTCTTTCTAGTTTTCCTCATAATATCTATGTGGCCAGCAGAATTTCTTCTTGTTTTCCAACATTACTAAAAAATTTAAAAAAAATACAGATTTCCTAGTTGTTAGGGATTTACTATATACAAGTATAAAACTGCAATCATGCACTTAACCTGCTATGTTAATGTGAGTGTCCCTCAGAGTCATTCAGCATCATTTGTCCCACTGGATTCATTGTTCTGGTTTTACCCAACGTGGCTTTGGGTGGGAAATGGGTGAACTGTTCAGTAACCTTGAATCACATTATAAGGAAAGTGATCTATCTTTCCTCTAGTCAATCTGATTTC